ATTCGGCGCGAACGGAGTCGCGGGCTACCGCTAGTAAAACATTGAATGAAAAAACTAGTTGATACGAAATAACGGTAGTTATTTTTCTTTCGCTTAATTACATTGCTGTGAACTCAATGCGGACGTGTCAAAACAGAGAATGCATTTACTCGAGGCTATAACACAACATATTCACTTGTCCGTCTGTAGAATTGTTTATTAGTGTTGTTATTTAACCCGCTTTCTTGTCAGTACAAATAGATGATATTAAATGTAGCTCAAGTAGCGCTAGACACGACACCGTATGCCCTTAAGGTTCGGTCACACAGACCAGAGAGATGAGTAGAGCAGAATTTTATAGCAAATAAATTGAACTTTATGAGATTGTAACAAGGTTTAATTTTACTTTTCACGTCTTTTTTCAACTTCCTTTTGATAAAAAGACAAGTTAAAAATGTCTGTGAAAAACCGATTATCAGTTTTTGTATTAGTGTTTATGTTTTGAAAACCCAAGGTTACGATAGCATATGAGAAACAAAAAAGTTCAACGTGGAAAAATTGCTAAAAAAATATCAAACAGACCTATTTGGGTAAATTGATAATATCGGAGATTTAGTTTTAAAATGAACACTATTTTGAAATTTGTATTACACTGAACTATCTCCAACAAAATAATTTAAGTTTCCATCAGAAACCTTGAGGCACTTCTTAATGTCTTGTGTTAGATTTTGAATGCGGCTTTTAATCTGCGTTGTCGTGTTTTGCGTGATAGGGATAGATAAGTTAACAATTTGCCAAGTTCGTCGCGTGTCTTGTTGTCGAGCTTCAGAAGATTACATTTGTAGTATCGTAGGGATGACTTGGTTTGGCGAATTGGTTGTAACACGAAAAGGTCGACGCCAGGAATTGTGCATTATTCCTTTAACGTGGATAAAATCTTTTTTATCTTCTCGTATACTTGTCTACTGCTACAAAATCATTTTTTTATAACATAACCGACGAATAACAGAACGAGCGAGCGGCCACCTGAAATCGCTGAAATAGCGAAGTGACCGTTGCCCATAGACATACGCAATTGCATATGCATTGCCTACCTTTAATGGACGGAGGAGAGGATGCAGAAAGAAAATATTTTCCCTTCCCATGCATCGTCTCACCCGGAAAGTCCACTTCTACTTCCCATCCTTTCCTTAGAAGAAAAAGGGTGGGAAGAGGAGTACGGAACGCACACTTATCAGACGAAACGCGGAATTGCTTCCACTTCACGTTTGTTTTCTGTGTGGTCGTGGTATTTCACCAGGCGAGCCGGGCCAATTCGTGCGAAGATGTTAAAGCGGGCTCTACCACTGTTGCAAAGTTTTCAAAGTAGCTTTATCTTAATTCTTACTAATATTATTAATGCAAATGTTTAGATGGATGAATGTTTGTTAGAGCGTAACTCCAGAACAGTTGCATGGGTCTCGCTGAAATTTGGTATAGATGTTGAACATATTTTTATTTCCGTGCGGACAGAGTCGCGGGCTACAGCTAGTTTTGAAATAATTATGACGTAGTAATAATAGACGTAACATACAAGGCAATAAAAAAAGTTATCGTTTTTGTGACGTAACTATGAAAGAAATGTCGGCGTTAACGAATTCGTTTGATGAAAATTCGCTTCCATTTGATAGATGAATGTGATAAAATATCATTGCTGTTACATCGCCCACGTTTACGTAGCAGTTTCATTTGTATATGTCATTAATTGTATTTAATTCTATTCTATTCCAGAGTGTAACATCTCTGCTTCTTATTTCATTCATATCTCGTGAGCAATGGTCCATCAGAATTTCTCCTCTATGCTATTAGATAAAATAAAAAAAAACATGATGAAACAAAAAAAAACAATGTTAAACAAAACACATTAAAAAACTAACAAAATAATGTCATGAATACCTTAGAAAGTAAGAAATTTCTCTACTTTCTTATAATAAGTAGGTGTGGATTTTACAATTATTGTTATTTCCGAGGTAAATTAGTGACATTTTATATCTGAGATGTCTTAGACATATTTACGTTTAAGTTAGTATTTAGCCGAAACCGACTTTTCGATCGACCGACTTTCTCAAAATAATTACAGATTTCTAAAACGAACTCGTCCTCTTTTAAATGTTCCCTTTCAGTTACTTAAATTAATTCTGTTCCAAGTAGCTTACAAATTTAATTAATTTCAATCAATTTCCTTTAAGAAGATTTACTTTTATTCCCAGAATGTCGTATTTTTTATCTGAGATTTAAATTGCGATCTAACCTTTTAACTTTTAAAATCTAGAATATTCTTTTATTTCAAAAGTATAGTGAATAAAATAAAATACACCCCTTATTTAAAAAAAATTATAAACAATAATATTTGAAGTAAAAACCTTACTTTTTAATATATGGAAAAAAATACAATAAGTAAAAAAAGTTAAATAATTTATTTTAAACACAAGATAGCAAGCACAAGCAAGTTACAATTTTAATTGCTGTAGTAATCCTTATAAGCGCCCTTGTAGAAAGTTGTTAGTGATCTGAGATCTGTTCTGGCCAAAACTGTATTTATTATGACATTATCAAACCAAAATGGCTTCACTCCAAACATAGTACATTAATAAAGATTACAAGGCTAAAAAAGAGAATGATGTATGATTGTTTGACTAAAAAGCTTTTGTTCTTGCTAACTTTTTTGGATGCCAACTCTTGAATGTCCTTTTTTATCTAGATTTACGAATAGTAGCAGTTGCCCGCGACTCCGTCCGCGGTATTAAAAAAAACAATAATAGAGATAAAAACTACCCTATCTCCTACGTTGGTTTTAATTACAGATGCTTACAAAATTTGACAAGAAATGGTTCTGTAGTTTCAGAGTTCATCGCGAACATAAATCGTGACACGAATTTTTTATATAAAACAAATGAAATATAAAACTCTAAAAACTCTACTACACTAGAATTAATTACAGTAAATCATTTTTGTGGCAAAACTAAATCAATATAGTTTTATAAAAATATTTATCACAAACGTTGGCAAGATTTATAATATTAATAAATTCTCTCGCTTTATATTGCACTTATCGTCGCTGTAAAAATAAACAACCGTATTGAACTTTAAAAATATCAATATAAAAACTACTTAAATCAGCAATCAGCTCTATGATGTATAATTTCACTACTTACCGTGGGTTTCTGAGACGATTGACATTAACCTTAAAGTAAACCCAAAACTAAAACCTTATAATAAATCTTAATGTTGTTTAGTCTTATTAATATTATAAATGCGAATGTTTAGATGGATGGATGGATGGATGTTTGAAGGTATCTCCGGAGCAACGGCATGGATATCGCTGAAATTTGTCATAGATGTAAAAAATAGTCAGCAAGAACACATAGGCTACTTACTAAGTTTGTTTTTCATTCTGCGCGGACGGAGTCGCGGGTGACATCTAGTGAAAACCATATTTTATCTGAAATACTTAATTATAGGTTAAAAGACAATACAAATGATTTTTCTGTGTACAGTCACCAAAAACATCAATATTACATTAAAAGTTATCTCGCTTAGAAATCGAATTAAGGGAGCAGAGTTCAGTAAAGCGGACAAATCTTCGACCGCCGGGACACGGACTCGACAAGATCGTAATTTAATTAGTCGATGCTTCTGTTTCATGTTAACACTGCGGTTTTATTTAATAATCTGTACGGTTAGCAGATAAAGTTTGCCTATTTAATTTGTCCATAACATATGTATACCATACAAATAAAAATCAATTTGTATTTTGCGATGAACTGAAATACTTTAAAGTACTGATTGCAAAAAAGAATCAAATAGATCAGTTTTTGATAGTTAACATTAATATAATAGTATAAATTAAAAGTAAAATAATCATACTCTGAATATAAATAGAACCAAGTAAATAAGCTTTATTTGCTTTCGTTTAAAATACTTGAAGACGCTTTGGCAGCATTGCTATCGGAATGTTTTTGCTTCAATGAAATATTGATGCAGAAATGGAATTGAATTTTAAATGCAAAATTTACTAAATTAAATACTTAAATAATGATTATATCTGTTGCCAGTTGTTAAATTGATGAAAAATAAATGTATATGGCCTAACAGATTAAACCTTTGTACAATATAAAAAAGAAAACATTCCTTGACATACTTATTTATAAATTTATTTTAGACCAGCTACTGCTACAATTGCGTTTGCGCAGGATTAAAAAAACTTTATCCTACATTTATGCCAAACAACTGTCGCCTTTGACTCCGTCCGCGCGGAATTAAAAAAAAAACTAAAAGTCTATATGTTTTTCCAGACTATGTTCTATATGTGTGCCAAATTTAATCAAAATCCGGTCAGCCGTTCCGGAGATACTTTCAAACACACATCCATCCATCCATTCATCTAAACTAAATATCTAAACTTCTGCATTTTTAATATTGATAAGGTTATTTCTTGTTTTGTATTCAGTACTTGATTTAAAGATGAAAAAATACATGTTACTTGTCAACAACATTAAGTATTAAAGAGTGTGTAGTGTTCAATACAGTTTATTCCATGACATATTTTTGGAATTTACTGGAATAATGATATAATGGAGAAAGGGTCTCGGGTACACTTTCTGTCGTAAACGTTTTCACTTCACCCGCCTTAAGTATGCTTCGTGATGAGTACATTAGCTTTTAAGTATACAACCCTACGATATTTTGGCTAGTAAGTACAAAAAATTGAGTAAATAACTACATATCACAAAAAAAATCAGAGAAAACTGAACGAAAATTAATTTGGTCAATTCTATTTTTAGATATTTAATATTTAAATGCAACTTAAATTCGTCCGAAACATATCATTAAATACAATAAAAAATGCGAAAGGTTTTTTCGATGTTTAAATTTTTATCGAAGACTTTCGAACTTGGCATTTAATTTCCGACTTATCAATATTATTTCTCGATATATTTTAGTATAAATAACCTATGATTTGTTACAATGGACATCAGTCTGTAATCTCTCGGACAATCACAATCACTTGCACAAACAAAATGCTCGCTAAGGTAATTAATTTTAATGAAATCATTAAACAGTTACGTTCAATTTTCACTGATTCGTAATAGGACCGATGTACTCGTTCGATTAATTGTAGTGTTAAAAAAACAGCCACGGATTTATTTCACAGTAGCATATTAAATTACAAATTCTAAATAAATTAAATATAAAAACCATAATGAATTTGATATAAAATGTGACATTTTGCGGTAAAATTTGAGTTACATTTTCTTTATAAATTAGGAAAGCATTAATAAGAAAAGAGGTAAGCCCCAAAAAAGGTTCTAGCTAAGAGCACCCTTAACCGAACTACATACCTAAATACGTCGCAAAATTCACAGCAGTGTGCGAAAATATTTAATTAAATATTCGTGGGTCATGTATTTACTATCATGAACTTTTATCACTATAAATTTGGTATTTCAGTTCCTTCTCCAGTTCGATCTTGCGGACGCTGATAGAATTTGTAAAAAAATTGGCTATTTTTACTTTTTACAGTTCGTTATCCTCATCGCCCTTGTGGCTGCTTGTGCTGCGGATTTCTCCCAATTCTCATACGGCGTGGCGGACCCTTACACCGGTGATTTCAAGAACCAGATCGAGACCCGCGCCGGCGACAGAGTCCGTGGCCAGTACTCCCTGCTTGACGCTGATGGCACCCGCAGGACTGTAGACTACGCCGCCGGTGCTGAGGGCTTCAACGCCAACGTGAGGAAGGACCCCGCCCTCATCCCTGCCGCGACCGCAGCCTACGCTGCTCCCGCCTACCCATACGGATACGGATACGGATATAACGCAGCTTACGGGTACAACAATCTTGGCTACGGATACAACAACGCGGCGTACGGATACGGCGCCTACGGATATGCTTCTCCGTACGCTTTCAGAAGATTCTACTGAACTGACAATTATGGCTTAGTGTATATAATTTTAAAATAAATCTCAATCCATAAACATGTGAATTTTAATATTTTTGGCGCATTTTTACACATTTATTACTATCACTATACCGAATCAAGTTATTCTTTCATTTGTTTTTTTTTAAACATTTGAACATTAGTTATGGAATTTATAAACAAAAATTATATCCTTATCCTAATTTCCATTACATTATACGAACATATAAACAGCAATAATACGCCAATAAAACATTCCACAAAGAAGCAAACAATATGACTTACCATATAAAGGGAACGTTGAAGTCTTTTATTAGATTCCGAGATCCCGTGCCTGCGTATAATGTACGCGAAGAGTAGTTCGTAAACAAATATACGGGTACGGGTTGACGCGAAGTGGCTCCGTTGAGATTAAAGGGGTTACTACTTGAATAGATCGAGGGCTCGCCCTTTCATATATTGTTCATTATCCTTTGTGTTTTATTAAATCTTTCACCAACATTCTTCTTCATTGTGTTTGCCTTTTTGTGATAGTTTTTCTACACAATAATTAAATGAATAAAGGTGAAGCTTATTCTCGGGACATATTTACAGAAACAGTCGAACCTGCGGAGCTAGACATATTGTATTCGCTCCAAAGTGGATTCATAACGTCAATATCAATAGTTTACTTATCGAACTAGCGGACGAAAATCACGCGAAAGTTTGTAACAGTTGTTTGCATTTTTTTTTATAACATTAGGTGGCAAACGAGCGAGCGGCCACCTGAAATCATATGCGTTGGTTACCTTTAATCGACGGAGGAGAGGATGCTCAGAAAGATTATATGTTCTCTTTCCATGCATCCTCTCATCCGGAAAGTCCACTCCCACTTCCCATCCTTTCCCTATAAGAAAAAAGGTGGGGAGGGTAAGAGGACTAAATTAGGCCTCCGAGACGCACATTAGCAGACGAAACGCGAAATTGCTTCCACTTCACGGCTGTCCTCTGTATGGTCGTGGTATTTCATCGGTCGAGCCGGGCCAATTCGTGCGAAGACGTTAAAGCGGGCTCTACCACTGTTAAAATGCATTTTTGATTTCGTTAAGAAATCGCTTCGGAGCAAATGTCTAGCCCTTCTGGACAAGAGAAAAAACCCTTTAAGCGAGAGACCCGACGGACAAACTCCATAAGCGACAAACTCGGATTAGAGACAAGCCTCTATAAGTGAGAAAATGTCGCGCTCCTTTGGACTCTCGCTTAACCAGTTTCAACATTTACCTAATCAATATGTATATTGAAATCACATTTTTTATCACAAATATTCACCAAATTATTGTCAAATAATTACATGGATGGATGGATGTTTCATTAAAGGTATCTCCGGAACATGTCAACGGATCTCGCTGAAATTCGGCATAGATGTAGAACATAGTCTCGAAGAACAAATTTTTTTTATTTCCGCGGGAACAGAGTCGCGGGCGACAACTGGTCCTTTTATATAGTCGTTTAACCTATTTTTGTACTTTACTTTTATAATATAATATAAATGTGAAATTCTGTGAAACGTCTGAAACTGTATAAAGTAGTAGAGAAATTGAAGGAACATTTTTAATAAGCAACATAACGAATTTAAACTGTAAAATGTTTTGTGATATTTATGATACTGAAATGTACGGCACTCGCAGCGCAGAAAATATTTCATTATTTTGTATAGTCTGTACTTTTATTAAAAAAAAAAGTTACTTTGATGTCAGTAATGGTTGCTATAAAATAACGGAAGTGTTGAAGTGTGAATGCACTTTCAATATTTTCATAATACTACTATTGCATTTCTTAATACGAGTAGTAATGATACTTTCAGCTATAGGCCTAGCTTATTAATCGTTCTTGACTTATATTATAGATAACTGGAAGTTTTAGAGAAAGAAATCTAGATAAACTTTATAGTTTATTTAAACAGCATTATTTACAGTAAGGTATTATCTATTACAATCTGTTTGTTCAGTAGAATCGTCTGAAAGCGTAAGGTCCGGCATATCCATAGGCGCCGTATCCGTAAGCTGCGTTATTGTATCCATAGCCGAGGTTGTTGTATCCGTAAGCGAGGTTGTTGTATCCATAAGGGTATCCGTATCCGTATGGGTAGGCGGGTGCGGCGTAGGCTGCGGTCGCGGCGGGGATAAGAGCAGGGTCCTTCCTCACGTTGGCGTTGAAGCCCTCAGCACCGGCGGCGTAGTCTACAGTCCTGCGGGTGCCGTCAGCATCGAGCAGGGAGTACTGGCCACGGACTCTGTCTCCGGCGCGGCTCTCGATCTGGCTCTTATAGTCGCCGGTGTAAGGGTCCGCTACGCCGTAAGAGAAGCTTGAGAAGTCACTAGCACTGGCCACGGCCACAAGGGCGAAAAGGATGACGAACTGAAATGTTGACAAAAGTTGTATATAATTATGGGAACAACTGAACCCTTGGCATATATTATCGTACCTTAATACTCTGTTAAAGTTTAAAATAAAATTGATTTACCTTTCCAATCATCTTGCAGGTTGGTAGACGAAGGCTGATGTAAGACTGATTTGAAATTAGCTCAACAGATATTTATATCATCGAATTGTACTTTCATATCCCTAGAAATGAATGAAACGAAATGATAACATTTAAATGTCAAGTTGAAATATTCAACTTCCTTTATTAATTAATAATAATATAGTGTGATTTTACCGAAAAAGTACGGTTGACTTATCATTTTATTTATAGACATAATTGCTATTTGACGTAATTCATCAAATATCTACGAATTCTTAGTTCAAAGTGTTTCGTTCTATGTGAAATATTTCGTCCATGTTAATACACGCTTGCTGCTACGTAATGGTATCGATATCACGATTCTAATAAAGTGCTGCATCAGTAATTAGATCATCATCGGCATCCTTTTTCCCTATAGAGGGTGTGCACAGAACATATCCATCTTTTTATAGAAATAAAGATAAAACCCGCACCACAGGTTCCTGACCCAAACATGTAAGGGTAACGAGAGAGCGGCATAGAGACGCCAATAAAAAAAAACATGTCTATCAGCCAGTATATCTGAATTCTTAGGTATATCCTCTTTTACAAGATCCATCCATACTTTCTTCGGTCTTCCTCTATCGCTGTAGCCAGACACATTTAATATCATTACATTCTTATTCATGTACCCATCTACTCTTTATATTTCTATATTACGCTAACTTCTTCTTCTTAATTTCTTGATCACTAGCGCAACTTTCAAGCAAACTCCTATATATTCTTTTCTTCTCGTCAAACCACACACCCTCAACACCTTAACATACGCTTCTTAGCTAGATCAGAAATAAGTTATGAAAACTTTATTCTTTGTGTTGCTGATAACAATACAAAGATTTTGTTTTATCTAATTTAGAAGTGGAAAAACTAGATTTAAAAGATATTAAGCACACAAAGATTAAGCTATACCTGCGATTTCAGGGCAGAGTCACACGTACGCAAAAATGTCATTAAGAATATATTTTTTACGGAACCTGACGGCAAAAAAAAAATGAAAAACATGATATTTTATAAATTTTTCCCTGAATAGAATATAGAATAGTTAGCTTGTAATTAAAAAAAATCATATAATGTAATAAAATACTTATGTATAAGATCTTTATCATTTTTTTACCCAAATATTATAAGGTTAGCAAAAAAATATTTTTTTAATTCTGTTACTACTGTTATTACAAGCGTTTTCGTTGTGCGTGTGTGCAAACGCACAGTGATATAATAATTCTGATCTTAAATTATTAAAAATTTCGTAAGACATTATACTAAACTGATATAAAAACGGCTAAACACTCACGTATATTCGTTCAGTGAGCGACGGGCCGCGTCCGCGAAATAATACCAGTACCACTCATCCTGATGAAGGGCCCCCGATGGGCTTGAAACTAGTCGGTGCCGCTAAATACGAGTATACGAATATACGTGAGTATTTAGCCGTTTTTATATCAGTTTAATTGTGATCTACCAATACTTAAGTTTTTTTTAAAGATAATTTTTCAATATTTATTTGCACTGTTTTCATTTTTCAAATATGATCAGTATCACCAACAGATAACGTTATATTTTTACTTGTAATAAGAAAATGATCGCGTATAAGTTAAATAACCTTTTATCTTTAAATGAGCAATTCTTCTATATGTGTATATATATATATAATTGGAATCTCGGAATCGGCTCCAACGATTTTCATAAAATTTAGTATATAGGGTATTTCGGGGGCGATAAATCGATCTAACTAGGAATCATTTTTAGAAAATGTCATTTTATTCTGGTTTTATCGATAATCAACTTAAACATAAACTTATATCGTAAGATCGAAAAATATTATTCATATTTCATCATTTTATTAGTAATTCGTACTTAAATATAATTTCCAAAAAACACAATTAAAAAAAAAATACCGAGCAAAGCTCGGTCATCTAGGTACTTACTGTAAATAATTAAACTAATTTAATAATAAATATTTAACGGTAGATAAAACAAAAACCACACAACGTACGATTGTATTACGGTTAACCACATGATGCATTTCGACTCCTATTAGTAAAATTACTAATGATACGTAATGCGTGTATTTTTATTTACGAAGTTTCACTTAATAAACTCCAATTTGATTGGTTTTCTAACAATCTCAAATTATATCATTTTTCTTCGTGATTACCATCATGAATATCGAAAGTAAATGAGATATGTACTGTTAGGAAGAAAATCCGGAAATTAGCCAGTGTATTGACTCAACACTAGCCTTACTAAAATGTCGACGTTTGTGTCCCCTCGCTATTCATTCTGACCCTAGACTTTGTAATGAAAGCACGTCATTAGGGCCAAAAGGATTCTTACTAATAATGTCTAAAAGTACTAGAATTGAACTTTTTCATTTACTGCAAAATATAGCAAACCAATACCCAATCGTGGTAAATTCAATTTCTTTCACAATTTGTTTTAAAATATTATTAAATTGCCAAAGTCAATAAAAATGGAATATTACTTGTCTCATCTTTACTAGGATTAAATAACACGAAATAATTTAAAATTTAAAGCGCATATATTTAAAACATTATCTAGTCCATCTATTACAATCCGTTTGTTCAGTAGAACCTTCTGAAAGCGTATGGTCCAGCGTATGCAGGGGCACCATATCCATAACCAAAGTTGTATCCGTAACCGAGGTTGTTGTATCCATAAGGATATCCGTATCCGTATGGGTAGGCGGGTGCGGCGTAGGCTGCGGTCGCGGCGGGGATGAGGGCAGGGTCCTTCCTCACGTTGGCGTTGAAGCCCTCAGCACCGGCGGCGTAATCTACAGTCCTGCGGGTGCCATCAGCATCAAGCAGGGAGTATTGGCCACGGACTCTGTCTCCGGCGCGGGTCTCGATCTGGTTCTTGAAGTCGCCGGTGTAAGGGTCCGCTACACCGTATGAGAACTGGGAGTAATCCGCAGCACAAGCAGCCGCAAGGGCGAAAAGGATAACGAACTGAAAAATGTAAAAAATAGTAATTATTATTACAAATCCTAGATTTTATGAAATGATGAAATTTACATAAAATTATAAAATCATTTACCTTCGCAAGCATTGTTCGATTGTTGAGTTAACAGTTGTTAATGTTAGGAAGGCTTCTGATGATCTGATGTATTCATAAAGACCTCCTTCGATATTTATATCATCGATTCGAATTCTCTTTTACACTTGGAGTAGGAAATAAATGAATATCAAGTTTAAACATACGTCACACTTCTACAGCGTATCTTTAAATTGATTCGAAAACAATAAACCAGTCTCTAAAATATTGCAGTGGCTTTTTCTTTTACAATATTAAAACCTTCAATCGCGTGTATAATTTAATAATTATCCTATATTTTTTATTAAATAAAAACACACTGAATGTAATAATGATTCAATTTCCGTTAGGGGGCAAAAAGTTTGAGCAACTGAAAATTATATTTGTATTTACAATTCATTTCAAAGTTAAACAATATTGGTATTGCAAGAAAGTGTTAAATAAAATATAATTCCGCTAGTGCCGTGCTTTCCAAGTGATATCAATATATTCAAAAATTATAGCTCGTACGTGAGTTCCGACTGACCTAATTTTGTTTCAAAAAGACGTGCCTCGGGTGCAGTAAGACGTTTCAATGTTTGACAGGTTTCTACTTAATATGAATAACTAGTAGTCGCCCGAGACTCCGTCCTCGAGGAACTAAAAAAAACTTAGCCTGCGTGTTATTCTAGAATATGTTCTACATCTGTGCGAAATTTCATCAAGATCCGTTGAGCCGTTCCAGAGATACCTTTAAACATACATCCATCTGAACATTGGCTTTTATAATATTAGTAAAAAGTAGGATTATAAGAAAGTAGAATATAACATCCATAAAACATGCCTTAAAAGAGTAATTAGTTTCTAGTATTAATGCACAGGAAAATTATCTATATATAGAAAACTGGCAAACTCATTAAAATTAAAGTCTTGACAAATTGCTGGCTCAACTTCTGTGAACTTTTTTTACGATTAATTATAGGTTTCTTTTCAAGCAATTATATTCTTGTTATAATTCGTTACTTCTTATATTCTTGTGCTTGTATTTACTCCTAATTACACGACACTTATATCTAAAAATCAACTTATTAACAAACACAATAGATTAGAATTATCACGATCTTGTAAAATAGAATAGGTAATTAGACATATATCGGAAGGATCGACCCCTGAACCTATTCAAGTAGCAAGCCCCTTTATTCAAAGGCACTTCGGTTAAACCATTTATTTGTCAACGAAGAAATATGCGTATGTTGTATACAAAATCAATATTTGGATTCAAAGTAAGAATTGCTAGCTCACTAATATGAATAGTTTTAGTTGACTGACAGTGATAGAAGTTTATTCATTTTGTATGTGGACTTTGCAATAGTCATAAATAACTGGAACTTATTAAAACTATCCAGACAACATTTCATCATCATCATCATCAGCTCACTATACGTCCCCACCGAGGGGCTCGGAGCCTACCCTAAGTTAAGGGTGATTAGGCCATAGTCAACCACGCTGGCCTAGTGCGGGTTGGTTGACTTCATACATATCTTTGAATTTCTTCTCAGATATGTGCAGGTTGCATCACGATGTTTTCCTTCACCGTAAGAACGTCGGATAAATGTACATATGTAAATCGGAAATCGAAAAACACATTGGTACATGGCGGGATTCGAACCCAGGACCTGCAGTTTGCAAGTCAAGTGCTTGACCCCTGAGCCACCGACGCTCCACATTTACACCAGGAATATATGTAAATACTGTCGATCGAGACTCTGCCCGCGCGGAATTTAAAAAAAAACAAAGCCTTATGTGTTCTTCCAGACTGTGCTCTACATCCATACCGAATTTCAGCGAGATTCATGTAGTCGCTTTGGAGATATCTTCTAACATCGATCTATTCATCCATCTATACATTCTATGCATCCAACCATTCCATCAATCCATCTAAACATTCACATTTTTAATATTAGTAAGATGTGATAAGTTTTTAAATGACATCGTAAATGAGTTTTTGATAAATGGAAAATGTAATTGTACAGAATCTTGCTGACGTCACCACAACGGCGCGATATTAGCTCATTTATTATTTACAATACAAAATATGAAACAAAACAGACTACCTAGATATGTATAAGGTTTCCTGCAGATATATTTATCATGAAGCTATAAATATTTAACAAACAGTAATATTAAGATAGTAAATCAAAAAATCATATTGACTCTTGTTGCCGACAGATACGGAACGTTTTTACACGTTTTTTACTTCATAATTTTTATATTTTTGTATTTGGAACATGATACATTTTAATATTCCAAAATTTATCTTAATTCTTTAAGCGTCAATAGCCTAATGGTTAAGGGTACGGTTTTCCGGCCAAGAGGTTGGGGGTTCGAATCCCACCATTTCGACTATTGTCGTAATCCATATCCTAGCGAAAGCCTAGAGCTTAATTGGAATGGTTAAAGAAATATTAGTAAATTTACAAAAAAATCTGCTAATATTTTTAAACAAAAAAAATCCAACCGCTCTTTCCATCCTCATTATTTTCCGTCCTCTTTAACTCTGATACTTTAAATCTTTCCATATGACATTTAAGGCATACAAAGCAAATGATAATTCAATTGTTAAAAGCGGTCAATATATTTAGAATAATTAAAGACAAAAATAAAAAAAAATTACGTCACGTAAAAGTTTTCACTCTCTAGTATCGTCCTTTGTTCAATACATTGAGGACAATTCAATGCAATTAATAGCTACGTTGAATTTAAATTGAAAACTACATTGTTCAACTGAGAAATATAAATGTCGCACTCTCGGATCCCAACTTAGCTCCAATTTCCTACAGAACTGGGAAAGTTTCGTTTGCTTCGAAATAAATTTTCATTATGAATTTTCAATCAAGACAATTTACTTGCAATCATTTGGGATATTAGAAAATTAAAAATTTTGAGAAAATATAAAATTATTATATTTTGGTTAGTTTAATATCGAAAGGAGATTTGTTATAACAAATCTCCTTTGGAAAACCCAGTGTTGACAAATTTTATTACTTAAAATTACCTTCCCTATACGCCTTTACGTAACCCTTACCCAGAGTTACAACTGCCGAAAATCCCGAACATACTATCTCTTTATTTTCAAAGTAAATGAGAGAGACGGACAATAAAACCCACGGGTACGTTAACAACATATTATTTTTTTTCTTTTTTAGATATTAAAGGATTTTTTTTTGTATATTACTAATATTTCCAAATAGGATCTAAGCTTGTGCTAGGACATGGTTTACGACAATAGTCGAATGGCGGGATTCGAACCCCCGACCTTGTGATCGGAAATCTGTACCCTTATCCATTAGGCTATTGACGCTTACATACAATATATTTATCTAATTAACATATTTTCTTGTCTGGTTCCCTTCTTTGATGGAATAAAGTTTTACCTCGTGGAAAAAACAAATGCGAAATTTCCCTATTCATTTGTTTTCAGTACAAATTACCATTTGAATGAAAAAAAGAAGAATTTCAAAGAGCTCTCTGCATTTTCATTCGCATTACCTACGAAATCAAACTTTTAATTGGATATAAATTAAGGTTCTACTTGACTATTATATAATAATTAACGTATTAAATCCTACATCGTTGCCAACTTTAAGGTTTAGGCTGAACTAGATAACTATTTAAAGGAGTGCTATTGCTGAAAATGTATAAATTTTGGCACTAATTAATATGGCGTGTTCATATAACCACAAAAACAGCTGCGACTCCCATTAATCTTAACTACCGCCTAATGTTTAGCCAATAAACATAAACCATCTTAGATAATTCATTAAACAACAGTTTAGGTTAACTATATTCAACATATGTACATTTATCCGACGTTCTTACGGTGAAGGAAATCATCGTGATGCAACCTGCACATATCTAGAAGAAATTCATGAGATATGTGTGAAGTCAACCAACCCGCACTTGGCCAGCGTGGTTGACTATGGCCTAATCACCCTTAACTGAGGGTAGGCTCCGAGCCCTTCGGTGGGGACGTATAGTGAGCTGATGATGATGATATTCAACGTTTACTTGTAAATTAATCCATACTCGAGGTCGCCCGCGACTCCGTTAAATAAAAAAATATTATGCCGGCGTGCATCAGCTACCGTAACGCACTCTATATGTATGTATCAATGTACATATTTTATTTATATGTTTACTAATTGTCGCCTGCGACTCCGTCTGACCGGTATTAAAAAATACTTAATTAGTAACCCATGTGCTCTTTCAGACTAAGTTCTACATCTATACCAAATTTCAGCGAGATGCATACAGCCGTTCTGGAGATACCTTATACAAACATCCATCCAAACATTCGCATTTATAACATTAGTAAGATAGTAAAATTACTAATATTTTGTACTAACAACTATTAATAATTATAATTCATATCTCAATTTCAAATTTTTTTTAAATCTCTTAAAGAGTACTCATTGGAGCCCTTTGTTAACATATGCCTACAGTCAAAAACCTATAAAAGGTAATTTTAGACTGTTACGAAGACAAACAACCGGTTGGATACAAGAGAATCCTTTCGTAAATTTTCTTGTCTAAAATATACATATAGTATCTCCTAAACGTATCCTTGTTTATAGCTTTTAACAAGTGTAGCAGTCACATGATTTATTACTGTGGTGTGAGCTTTCGCAAACAGTACAGCACTTAACGTTGAGCTATTTCTTTTACGAATGGAGATTGATCGGATACCGATACAACGACGGATACAAACCACAGTTCATTCTTTATGGTGAGAAAAATGCACAATAAAGGTTCGCACCCATCGGCCAGCGCTGGACGTACGTAAACGAATTTGCTTCATCTTTTTTTTACACAGCGGTACGTAAAATCATACAAAGCTTACAGAAATCCGTTGCGGGCCGTGCGTGCGGCCAATAGACGCGTACCTTAAAAGTAAGTTTCCACTGCAAAAACAAGTGTACTAAAACATTCAGTTATATTTGTTTTCTTAAGAGACGGGTTAGTAGTAAGTTCATTTATTACCCCAGTCTATAATTGATAGGGGTAATAGATGCCCAAGTGTACCCCCAACGAATAATTGAACATTCT